CTTATTCTGTTTAGGTACTTGTTGATGTTTTTAGAAATGCTTTTTTGTAGTAATTTTCTTTTATTTAATGTTCTCGTTTATGTTCTTTATGGTTTCTTTTATCTTCTTTTTTTTTTATTATTTTGTATTTTAATGTATATGTTCTTTTTCACTATCTTGTTGATGTTCGTAATGGTGTTCTTGATGTTCTTACAGATGTTCTTATTGCATTGTTTTAGTCGATATTCTTGTTAATGTTCCGTTTGTGTTCTTGTTGGTGTTACTGGTAATGTTCTTGGTATGTTCTTGTTACATTCTGTGGTGTTGTTCTTGTAAGGTTTGGTAATGCGGAGAATTACATCTAATTTCCCAAAATGGCGAATATATTTCTAATATTCACCTTAATGAGGTGCCTATTTTTCAACAATAGCGCTGGTGACTTAAACAATTTCCTTGATTTGCCATGATGAAATGTCTAATTGTAATATTTACTTTGAATTCCAAACTTACGTTGATGAATAACGAGCAATTAGAAAATCAAATTAAATCTCTGGGAATGTGGGTAAAAGAAGAGCATGTCATATTTCATGGAAACAAAAGCACTCAAATGCAAAATTAAAGGCTTCAAATGAAAAGAGAATTACTCAGAGAGAGAGAGAGAGAAAAAAAGAGACAATTAAAATACTTTGGTCACATTAAAAGACAACACGCTTTTAAAAACCTACTGGAGGGAAAGGTCGCAGGTGAGAGAGCTAGAGGTGGGCAACGATACAAGTGGGAGGACAACATCAAGGGATGGACGGGCTGCAGTCTCAAAGTGAGTACAACCAGGACCAGAGAAAGGCTATGCTGGAGATCCAATGCAGGCAACCTTCACTGTTGAGACGACACCTGATTGATTGATTGATTGATTGATTGATTGATTGATTGATTGATTGATTGATTGATTGATGTATACAACTAATTTCCAAGTTTAATGATGATGACATGTTCTATCTAATGTTCATGCAGCTCGATACGATGCACGATTTACAATACGTCTCCGTCAAAAGAAAAATGATCGGAGCCGACATTGTTGGAATTCCGTTCCAGGAGAGATTCTCTTTCTACATTGCCTTACCGCACGTGCAGAGTGGCATGCTTCGCTGCGGAGGACACGAGTGAGGAGTATTGTCTGGATTTTTTCACCGGGTCACGCCGGTGTGTTGGGAAATGAACAGGCGGACAGACTGGCTGGCTCTGCACATCTTGGTGGAATACTGATACATGATAGGGCAGATGTGGTTACTGCCTTGTGGGAGAGCGTGTACAATTCGGAGGAGCAGATGGAACACCACAGTCTGGTGAGATTGATGCAGTTGGGGGGTGACGAGGGGTTCTGGCAGAAGCTTGAGGCTCAGAGGAAAGGCAAGACGGACGTTTAATCAGAAAGCTACTGGCACCATTAGTATCGGAACTCTTCGCTGGCTGCTGAAGATGGGGACGGAGCGCTTATGGGAATGCCCCGAGGGCTGTGATGTCGGTTCTTGAATCAAATCAGATCAAACCGCAAGCAAATGACGGAATCATTCAACTTGGTAATATCTTGTTGTTGACACCATTTAGTTTCTCCAACGCTATAGTGTTTACTGTTTTTTTTTTTTTTTTTTTTTTTTTTTTTTTTGCATGTGTATTACTCACACTATCCGCTGTGGTGTAGCTACTAGACGATCGCTAGCGGACTCGATAATCATAGGTTCAAATTCGGGTGGAGCCGAATTTAGCTTCCAAAAATACTTTGACTCTCAGGTCGACCCTGGCTTAAGTGGGTACCAGGAAACGTCCTGGGAAAAAAAGGTGGCCGGTTTGATGTTAACAACACCAAATATTATTTATAAAGATTATGAGCCCTGCTTCGTATTCCCCATGCGCCGCTGGTGTGTGAAGGAAGCTTTACTTCCTCCTTTAGGTAAATCTCAGGAATTTCTTACATACGATCACTTCAATATACTTCATGTTCTATGTTTCCCATATACATTCACCACATATTAAATAAATATTACTTAATTTTTCATTTCCTTATAGTTTTTTTTTTTTTTTTTTTTTTTTTAATAATAATTCACCTTACATCAGATATTTTTTTGATTATTCACGTTGTTTATTTCAGAAAGGGACTTAGGCGCACCTAAAGCCGTAAGTCAACTGTTTGAAGGGGCACACACAGAATTAGGACACCTGAGTCTCCAAAAGTTTACTGTTGAATCTGAGTTCAAGCTGAAAGAACCTCTTGAGAAGATGGGTCTAGCGGCTGTTTTTTTTTAGTGGTAGCCCTAACCTTTCGCAAATTAGCAAAGTTGGTATGTTGTTAAATTCTAGAGCAAACTTTGTATGTTGCTAAATTATCTGACAATTTTAGCTCAGTTCTGTAACAGTATTACTTACTATGTAAATGATGCAACAATAACTAATGTAGAACTTTGGCAGAGAACTAAACAGGCTCCAGTGGATCAGGAAGTGAGGAAAAGACGCTGGAGTTGGATAGGGTACAAACTGAGAAAACAGGAGAACAGCATTACTAGAATGTCTTTGCATTGGAACCCACAGGGGCATCGGAATAAAGGAAGGCCAAAAAACACATGGAGATGAGAGCTGGAGAACGAGGTTAGAAAGATTGGGAGGACATGGGGAGAGCTCCATGCAATGGCGAAGGATAGAACGACTTGGCGTGAGTTGGTTGAGGGCCTATGCTCCATTGGGGGATAGAAAGGCAGAAGAAAAAGAAATGATGCAACAAACGTTGCATGAGCTAAATTCTGTAACCTACTTTGTTTGCTGCTCAATTTTGTAAGCTTTTTTTTTTTTTTTTCCTAATAATAATTCCATGTTCCTGAATTCTATAACAATGTGTATGTTGGTAAACCTCTGTATTTCGCTAAGTTCCCTAAACCTTTTTACATTTAGCTAAACTCCCTAACAGTTTTGTTATTTTTTGCATTCGTTTAAATTATGTAACAAGCTTTGCACGCTGCTCAGTTGTGTAACAAATTCCTTATGTCACTAAATTATGGAACAATGTTTGTATTTTGCTAAGTTGTGTAACCTGTTTTGCATGTTTCTAAATTATGTTAACAAGCAACCAACATCTCACTAAAGCAAAGGACATCAGGTATCCAGAAAGCGTAATTTCACTAAGTGGAAACATTGAAGCTATAAAGGAATGCAAAAACATCTTAGAATGCATTGCGCAGAAAGGAAAAAAAAATGTTTCCTAAGAAGTCAAGTTTCTAAGAAAACTTGGCACAAACATCAGAGACAGTCATTAATCTGTTGTCATGTTATATGAAAAATTAATCTGTAGCATATTCTGACAACTAGCAAGATCTATCCAAAAAAAAAGGAGGCAGAGAAAGCCGACGAAAGAAAATTTTTCGCAGCCTTTGTCATGGCATGGAGGGGTGTCAGCAAATGATAGTGTTGTTGAAGATCGCGGTTTGTTGAGATGCATGATCGCCCACTCTCATGTATATATGTATGTATATATATATATATATATATAGCATATCAAATTATCGGACATTTCTCACTGTGAAATAGAGTATTTTACCAACCTTGTTCTTCTGCTTCATTTTCTTCTTTGGTTCTCCTGAATTATTTGATCTATATCTGTAATGTTGTCTCTAGTATAAACTTCACTGAATTTTGTAATTCACTAAGTGACCTGTACAGTTTGGCTTCCACCCGTGTTTCTTTTGACCAGAGGATTCATCTTGATATTTTGTTTGATGATAATAATGATGAGGACGACGAGACGGTGATAATGATGATAATGAGGGATGATGAGGATGATAATGATGATGACGAGGGGTGATGAGGATGATAATGATGATGACGAGGGGTGATGAGGATGATAATTATGATGACGAAAGGTATTGAGGATAACGAGGGATTATGATCATTATGACGAGAGATTATCAAGACGATAGCGAGGGATTGCGAGGATGATGATGATGATGATGAGGGATTATGATGTGATGACAAGGAATATAGATGATGATGAGGGATTATAATGTGATGACGAGGGATTATGAAGATGATGACGAAGGATTGTGATGATGATAATGATGATGAGGGATTATGATGATTATGGCAAGGGATAATGATGACGAGGGATTACGATGATTATGACAAGGGATAAACATTATGACGATAATGATAATGATGAGGAATTATAATGATGATGATGATGACAAGGTATTTTGAAGATGATGACGAGGGATGATGATGATGATGATGATGATGATGATGATGACGACTAAGGCTTATGAAGATTATGACGAGAGATTCTAATCATGATGACGAGGGATTATGAGAATGATGATGATAATGATGAGGGATTATGATGATGATGATTATGACGAGAAATTATTATAATAGTGACACATACACTGTTTCTTTATTTTTCAACATAATTTCCACGAACATTGATGCACTTGTTCTATCGTTTTTTAAGTCCTACTAAACCTGTCGCATAGAACTGCGTGCTCTGTTTACAAAACAATATCTTTACTTCACATTCAACTTCTGCGTCATTCACAAAGGTGGGTTTTCAGTGGACTAAAAACGGTTGAAATAGCTAGGGGCTAATTCAGGCTGTAAGGTGGATGTTCCAGAAGTTTCCACCCTAGATAGTTATTTTTCTACAGAGTTAACCGAGCGGTATGTGGTCTGGCATTGTCCTGAAGAAGCTGTACTTCTCAAGTCAGCATGCTTGGATGTTTTTCTTCGAATTGCATCAGGAAGCATTAATGGAACTTCACAGTATGAATCAGCATTAAAATTTTCACCGTTTTATTTTTATTTATTTATTATTTTTAATTTGTTGGTTTGCTCTTTACTTACCACTTACCACCCATTATAGAAAATTAACAAAATGTCCACAAGACAACACAGGAAACACTGCAAATTCATTGCAAGCTGTTGGTTCTGACAACTTTATTCGATTATACTGGTTAAATGTAATTACGTTTTTCCATCAACTGGGCTTACCCGGAAAATTTGCCCTGAAATAGAATGATGTTTGTCTGTCGATCTCTCAGAAAGAAGATAAACGGGTGATCCACCTTAAAGGGTGTTGCAAACCCGTACGAGTTGCCAACGGCAATGACGGCTGTGGCTGCGGCTGCCACAGTTCCGGTCTCATCGACCTCAATAACAGCTTTGTGAATGACATCACTGACGTATACGCCACCTGACAAATTAAATTAATACAGTAGAATATCATTTGTTAAGTGGAGTTCGATTAATAACACACATATCAGCACTGGGACGTTCCAATATGTGCTCAGTCCTTATCTTCAGCAGCTAGCGAAGAGGTCTAGTGCAGATGGTGCTACAGTTCGTTCAAGATGTCAAACCCAACTTCACAAATGTAACTCAGTAACCACATTCGAACGCTTGCCACTGTTGAGGAACACATGCTGAACCGCACGCACATACTTACACACACACACACACACACACACACACACGCACACACACACTCTTGATTCAATAGTCAGCACCTTTATAACTAAGATCAATTAATTAAACACTGGTATACAGCGGTGATATTCTAAACTAACGGTTACATGACGCTTGAAACCTGATGTAATACATAAAGTTAATTACGGTGTGCAAATAATTGATTTTGAAAAAAAAAATCTAACCATTAAAGCCTATGTGTGTGTGTGTGTGTCTGTGTGTATTTTCGCAAATCTGGTTTTTAATGTTAATTATATAATCACAGTCGGCCCCTATTGCACACATCTCATTCCCAAGCATATTATCTGTAAAGACCTATAACCTTCTGAATGGTCCCATTATGTGTGTCCTATGGACGGATACTCTCTGTTTCTCAGGAGAGAATTACTAATGGCACACATATACTCTATCTACCTGGCATAGCGTCTCGTATGTGTTGATCCCACCATCAGTCGGTTTGTTATGTTATTTTATGTTATCTCAATCGACTTCTTTGCACATTGGGCATCCCCATGCTTGCTCAGTCCTTCCATGCAGCAGCCACTTTAAGGTACCTCTACTTATTGTTCCTATGAGGAGTTGGTTATAGTATCTCCTGTCTTTACCTCTTAGACGGCATAGTCGTGTTTCACCAAGCTCAACTTCTCTGTCACGAAGTCGTGTTAGCGTCAGAGATTCGCAATTATCTCCCAACCTAATCCGTACGGCGTTGATGATATCAGCTCTGTCCATGTTTTTTCCTATTTGCATTGGTGCATTACTTGCTAGCTGGTGAGCTCTTTCATTGCCATTTACTCCTGAGTGCCTAGGTATGTAGATACAGATGATGGCGGTTAACTGCGTCTTCCTAATGCCTTCTAACCATTCGGAGCGGAGACTACTTGTAGCGATTTTCTGAAGCATGTTCATAGAGTTTGAAACAATTACCGCATGTGTGGTCGCTTGTTCTTCTACACACACGAGTGCTCTGGTAGCAGCTGCTATCTCCATGGTCATGCTTGACGTAGTCGTCTGGTAAGAGCCGCTATTCTCTTTTATTGTTTTTCCCATCCTTTGTGCTGTGTATGCCCAAGCTGATCTTGTCCCGCGCTTCACGTCGATCGGGTTGTCCCCACCGTGTTCTGACCCAAAGGTTGACCATACCATGCTTAGATTTATTTATTTTAAATCTTAAGCCCCACAGAGTATTGGAAATAATGTTACATGTTGAACAAGAATTATTGGACGAATAGTGAAAATTACTAGACGATGAGTAAAAAATTATTGAATTTTTATTATTACAGTAGTATTAACAACAAAACATGAAAACCCTTAATGGACCCACCAGAGATAGCTAAAAGATAGAGAGAATACTCAAGTAAGCTCTTTAACCTCTTAGGAGATTGCCAGGAAAGAACAACCAAAGACTACAAGGCAACAGTGCTAGAACCTGATATACTACTCACTGAAGTAGATCAAGTCATTAAGCGGTCACCAAAAAACAAAGCATCAGGTGCTGATAGACTACCAACAGAAATAATCCAAGCAGCAGGAGAAAGCAACATTAGATAGCTTTATAAAATATTTAATGCGGCATGGGTACAACAAACTGTTCCCATTGACTGGAAACATGCAATAGTTGTACCATTGTGGAAGAAAAAGTGAAGCAAGCGAGAATTCAGTCAATATCGATTCATCTCTCTTTCAAGTCATGCTGGGCAATTGTGTGCTAGGTTAATAGAAACGAGGTTAGGACCTGATAGATCCACAGTTGACAGAAGAACAGATGGGTTTCAGAAAAAATAGAAGCTGCACAGATGCAATCTTCACTCTTAAACAGTTATTTAAAAAAATTAAATGATTGGTTTAAAAAAAAAAAAAAAAAAAGAATTTTGGACTATTAGTGAAAATTTCTGGAAGATTCGCAAGAAATTATTCGACGATTAGTAAACATTACTGGACGATTAGTGAAAAAAAAAAAATTTGGACGATTAATGAAAACAAATTTTGGACGATTAATAAAAATTGTTGGACGATTAGTAAGAAATTATTGGATGATTTGAAAGAAATTATTGGATGATTTGTAAGAAATTATTGGATGATTTGTAAGAAATTATTGGATGATTTGTAAGAAATTATTGGATGATTTGTAAGAAATTATTGGATGATTTGTAAGAAATTATTGGATGATTTGTACAAATCAAATTAGAATATTAGTGAAACATTGCTTGACGTTAGTGAAACATTGGTTGACGTTAGTGAAACATTGGTTGACGTTAGTGAAACATTGCTTGACGTTAGTGAAACATTGCTTGACGTTAATGAAACATTGCTTGACGTTAGTGAAACATTGCTTGACGTTAGTGAAACATTGGTTGACGTTAGTGAAACATTGCTTGACGTTAGTGAAACATTGCTTGACGTTAGTGAAACATTGCTTGACGTTAGTGAAACATTGCTTGACGTTAGTGAAACATTGCTTGACGTTAGTGAAACATTGCTTGACGTTAGTGAAACATTGCTTGACGTTAGTGAAACATTGCTTGACGTTAGTGAAACATTGCTTGACGTTAGTGAAACATTGCTTGACGTTAGTGAAACATTGCTTGACGTTAGTGAAACATTGCTTGACGTTAGTGAAACATTGGTAATCGATTAGTTAAAAAATTGATCGACTTTAATTAAATAAAACAAACATTTTCATTATCGGTGAAATATTACTTGGATGGTAATTTCAAAATTACATGACGATTGGTGAAAAATTGATCTACTATCAGTAAAAAGTTATTGGATGATTAGTGACAGTTTAACAGATGATAAGTGAAAAAAATGTTTTCCGCTAGTGAACAATTTTTGGACGATTAGTGGAAAATCTGACATAGTCATCCTGAAAATACACACTATATATCACAAAACAAAGAGCGTAAATACAGGCCTATAATTTATCACATCTGGTGACATTCTTGGAACGTGATAACTTCCTTCCCCAACGACCACCCAGCCACCCCCCAGGCGATCCACACATGCAATTAATAAGCTGAGTGGCTTACAGAACCTTTGGCTTTTATATGGGCGAGCGCGGTTCTTATGTTTGTGATATAAATTGTTAATCTGTACCTGGGCACACACACACACACACACACACACACACACACACAAACAAACACACACAAACAAACACACACAAACAAACACACACTCACACACAAAGAAAATGTAGTTATCTGACCAGGTATGTTGCTGTTTCATTTTTAAAACAACAAATAGTACATTGTCCATTTGCAAAATTCCAGAAATTATATAAAATCCTCAAAAATTGGTCTAATTTCAACTTTAAACATTTTCTGAAGCACCCTAAAGGGGGATGGTGAGGTTTAAATATACTTTTTAAAATGCATTTAAAAAAAAATAAACACAAATGTATTTGAGACTGGAAAAAGACATGTTTGCAACCTAGAATTTTGGACTTTCCCATAAATTCGGGGATAACCTTTGTTTGGCTTGAATTAAAACTTAAGTTGCCCCAGTGGGTTCTAATAACTGATTGTTAAAGAATCTACCAACGTACCAACTTTGCTTATTCTCGATAGGTCAGCGTTTGGGCTGAAAGCAGTCCTGATACCCAACTGTTCAAGAGCTTGTTTCAGATGAAAATCAGATTCAATTCTAAACTTTGGAAGAGCAAGACTGACATGTTCTGTGCGGAAGCCTTCAAACAGTTGATTGATGGCTCCAGGGAAACCCAATGCCGCTTCTGAAATAAGACAGTGTAATTAGCAATGCTCTTGTCTATTTTCGAACCATAATTAGAGTAATATTTGTTGTGTAACTACAAACGACTCACACATCATTATCAAGTTCCTTGATAGCAGTAGTTCTTCACGCAACTTCACAGATCTTGGTCTTTGGTGTTCTGGATCAATTCCATTGATGATAGTTCTACATGGCGCTTTCTTAAGACATCCAACATCATTTCTCTTTGTCTACATCTGCCTCTTCTCTCAGTGATCTTTGCAGTAGTTACGATATTTTCCAGTGCTCCTTTTTTTTCATCAAATGGTCAATGAACTCTGTTTGTATCCTCATTGTTCAAGAACTGTTTTTCTCCTCATTGTTAAAGAACTGTTTGTCTCCTCATTGTTCAAGAACCCTGTTTGTCTCCCCATTGTTCAAGAACCCTGTTTGTCTCCCCATTGTTAAAGAACCCTGTCTCCTCATTGTTAAAGAACTGTTTGTCTCCCCATTGTTCAAGAACCCTGTTTATCTCCTCATTGTTAAAGAACTGTTTGTCTCCTCATTGTTCAAGAACCCTGTTTATCTCCTCATTGTTAAAGAACTGTTTGTCTCCTCATTGTTCAAGAACCCTGTTTATCTCCTCATTGTTAAAGAACTGTTGGTCTCCTCATTGTTCAAGAACCCTGTTTATCTCCTCATTGTTAAAGAACTGTTTGTCTCCTCATTGTTCAAGAAATCTGTTTCCTCATTGTTAAAGAACTCTGTCTCCTCATTGTTAAAGAACCCTGTATGTCTCCTAATTATTAAAAAGCCCTGTTTGTCTCCTCGTTGTTAAAAAAAACCCTGTTTGTCTCCTCATTGTTAACGAACTCTGTTTGTCTCCTCATTGTTAAAGAATTATGTTTATCTCCTCATTGTTAAAGAACTATGTTTGTCTCCCTATAGTTACAGAATTCTGCTTGTCGCCTCATAGTTAAAGAACCCTGTTTGTCTCCTCATTGTTAAAGAACCCTGTTTATCTCCTCATTTCTAAAGAACTCTGTTTGTCTCCTCATTGTTTAAGAACTCTGTCTCCACATTGTTAAAGAACCCTGTCTCCTCATTGTTAAAGAAATATGTTTCCTCATTGTTAAAGAATTCTGTTTGTCTCCTCATTGTTAAAGAACCCTGTATGTCTCCTAATTATTTAAGAGCCCTGTTTGTTTCCTCGTTGTTAAATAACCCTGTTTGTCTCCTCATTGTTAACGAACTCTGTTTTTCTCCTCATTGTTAAAGAACCCTGTTTGTTGCCTCATTATAAAAGAACCTTGTTTGTCTCCTCATTTTCAAGGAACTCTGTTTGTCTCCTCATTGTCAAAGAACCCTGTTTGTCTCCTTATTGTTAAAGAAAACTGTTTGTCTCCTCGTTGTTAAAGAACCCTGTTTGTCTCGTCATTGTTAAAGAACCCTATTTGTCTCCTCGTTGTTAAAGAACCCTGTTTGTCTCCTCGTTGTTAAAGAACCCTGTTTGTCTCCTCGTTGTTAAAGAACCCTGTTTGTCTCGTCATTGTTAAAGAACCCTGTTTGTCTCCTCGTTGTTAAAGAACCCTGTTTGTCTCCTCATTGGTAAAGAACCCTGTTTGTCTCCTCGTTGTTAAAGAAAACTGTTTGTCTCCTCGTTGTTAAAGAACCCTGTTTGTCTCGTCATTGTTAAAGAACCCTGTTTGTCTCCTCGTTGTTAAAGAACCCTGTTTGTCTCCTCATTGTTAAAGAACCCTGTTTGTCTCCTCGTTGTTAAAGAACCCTGTTTGTCTCGTCATTGTTAAAGAACCTTGTTTGTCTCCTCGTTGTTAAAGAACCCTATTTGTCTCCTCATTGTTAAAGAACCCTGTTTCTCTCCTCGTTGTTAAGGAACCCTGTTTGTCTCCTCGTTGTTAAAGAACCCTGTTTGTCTCCTCGTTGTTAAAGAACCTTGTTTGTCTCGTCATTGTTAAAGAACCCTGTTTGTCTCGTCATTGTTAAAGAACCCTGTTTGTCTCGTCATTGTTAAAGAACCCTGTTTGTCTCCTCATTGTTAAAGAACCCTGTTTGTCTCCTCATTGTTAAAGAACCCTGTTTGTCTCCTCGTTGTTAAGGAACCCTGTTTGTCTCGTCATTGTTAAAGAACCCTGTTTGTCTCCTCATTGTTAAAGAACCCTGTTTGTCTCCTCGTTGTTAAGGAACCCTGTTTGTCTCGTCATTGTTAAAGAACCCTGTTTGTCTCGTCATTGTTAAAGAACCCTGTTTGTCTCGTCATTGTTAAAGAACCCTGTTTGTCTCCTCATTGTTAAAGAACCCTGTTTGTCTCCTCGTTGTTAAGGAACCCTGTTTGTCTCCTCATTGTTAAAGAACCCTATTTGTCTGCTCGTTGTTAAAGGTCGTGGCTTCGGGTCCTGACAGCGCCGGATTTGTTTCAAACATAACCTTAGCTCCCAGGTCGACCCAGCCTGTATGGGTACCAGGTATTACCTTGGGAGGTAAAGTCGACTGGCCTGATGTTGAAAATGACGTTCTGAGTGCCGACTGGGCTATATAATACACGTCTAACCCTATATGTCCATTACGTCGATAGGCTTGGACAAGAGTCGTTAATTTATGTCTTTTAATGTGGCTTAAATATTTCAATTATCTCCTTTGTTTTTTTTTTGTTTTTTTTTTTTATTCTTTCAGTAACTTCCTTTTCATTCTCTCATTAACGTCTGTATTTGATAGTCGATTGTGATAACTCAGTCGGCTTGTGTGGCTTAAGCGTTGCGAACGCGCTTTGTAATGCCGGGGTGCCGGGTTCGAATTTAGCTGGGGGCCTTGCGTTGGTTTCGACAGTGGTATCTAAAAGCTTACCGTCCAGAAAGCTATGACAAACTATTGGACGTAAACTTGTCTAGAAAAACCACAACAGCCACACACACAAAAAATGCTGGGGTTGGTTCTGCAACGTCATGTAAAGGATACACAACTATTTTAACTTGTGATAACGTAACGTGACGTAACATTACCAAGGTACTGGACTCCATAAGTTGCCTGCGGTAGAGCGATGTAGAGTGCGAATCTCTCCTTATAGGGCAGCTCGATGATGTCTGCTCCCAACACATTCCTTTTGATGTTTACGTATCGGACGGAGTGCATCGTGTCCAGCTGCGAAAAAAAAAGTGTTACATAGTTTTCATTGTCAGCTTTTGAAATTAGTTAAAAGACATATCCATAGCATTATCAAATTATGAAATTAGTTAAATTCATCATAATAATTCTTGGAAATTAGACACATGATTATTATTTTTCGAAATTTGTTAAATACAGTATTGTTATTCCAGGACATCTGGTAGACACACCGTTATCATTCTCGGATAGTATGTAGACACATCGTTATCATTCTCGGATAGTATGTAGACACATCATTATCATTCTCGGATAGTATGTAGACACATCATTATCATTCTCGGAAAGTATGTAGACACATCATTATCATTCTCGGAAAGTATGTAGACACATCATTATCATTCTCGGAAAGTATGTAGACACACCGTTATCATTCTCGGAAAGTATGTAGACACATCGTTATAATTCTCGGAAAGTATGTAGACACATCGTTATCATTCTCGGAAAGTATGTAGACACATCGTTATCATTCTCGGAAAGTATGTAGACACACCGTTATCATTCTCGGAAAGTATGTAGACACATCGTTATCATTCGAGACTGAGCCTCGAGAGGCAGGGGGTAAGAAGTGTTTGTGTTGTGGATAGTGGTTTCCCTCCCCCCTTACTTCACCCTAGGTCAAGTGAATATCTATTCACGAAAGCAGCGTCCATTGCGGTGTCAGCCTCTTGAGCTAGCAAAACCTCTCTTACCACAAGATCATTGTGCGTGGCGAAGAGTCACAGCCTCCCCGAGGTAGTCCTGGGGGTGCGAATCCGCAGGCAAAACACAATCGATCTAGAGGAGCAAACCTCGATTTAAAAAAAAACCGGTGCACCACACCTACTGTCTCCTGTGGGAGGGAAGGAGCCGGAGTGGTGCTAAGCAGTCTTAGGAGTGGAAACAATAATGCTAACCCCCTGAATACCGGAAACTATCGTGAAGACACAGGGACTCAGGACGTGACGATCCAGTTGCCCCAACTACTCATGCTTAGGCCATGCTTATAGCCAAGAAGAGCTCAGCGAACCCTGCAGGCAACCTGGTGGAGGTGGAATGAGAACACTGTGAGCTCCACCTCAGCTACGTGTCAAAGAAGAAGGCAGAAACAAAATCTATATTTTCCTAAGAACTGACGCAGCGCACTTCTGGCTGCTGTCCGGGGAGGGAGGTCATCCACAGACACACCAGCACCACAATGCCGTAAACATGAAAGAGTGAAAATTTAATTATACATACGAGATCGGTCGTCGCCTCGTCTATCAAGGCCCTCGCCAGACAGTGGGAAACTAGACTGTCGTGTGCGAAAAATTGGCTATTGGAAAATTTAGGGACCCCAGAAGAAGGCAGAGTAGAAGGGAGAGCAAAGAGAACTCAGACCGCACAGCAAAAAATACACAGATGCTTAATATTCTGCAGCTGAACATCTGTGGAATAAGAAATAAGAAACTTGAACTTGCCAAACTGCTAAACAAACACAGGGTACACGTGGCTGCTCTACAAGAAACCCTGCATAAAGACTCTGATCTGCATCTCACTGGATACACAATTTATGCCTGTAAGTGCAATGACTGCCGGGACATAGTAACCTATATAAGAAATGACATACAAGGAGATGTAACAATGCTATCGACATCTAACCCTACAGATATACCAAAAAAAAAAAACTTTCTGGCACAATTGAAGCAAATATACGATACACAACGTGTACATCCCACCTCAGACAACATGCAACATACCAGAACTATACAAGACACAGTACCATAAAACCCTTCTTGTTGGTGACTTCAACGGACACTAGCCACGTTTGGGTTATCCTGACTACAATAGCTCAGGGAAATAGATCGTAGAAACAACTAACCTATGAGTGCTGCAGGACTAGAGTCTCCACCTACACTGTTACACAGGGCCCACCTATCTCTCAGCCGACCTGATCTGACCATCTGCTCATCCGACTTAGCAGACGCAAGTTACCCCTAAGTCCTGGATGACATAGGAAGTGACCACAAGCCAATAATTACAACTGTAAGAACCCCCGCTAAATCATGCTTTAAGCAGAGAACCAATTGGAATTTTCGAAAAACAAACTGGAAACTGTTTCAGGAAACATCTGACAGCCTCTTGGGAATAATTGACAACAGCTGTGTGGAAACGTTTTATGAAGATCTAACATAAGCAATCATGAAAACAGCACTGAAAGCCATCCCAATGGGCAGCCGGAAGAAACATAAACCTTTCTGGAATAAGGAAATTCAAAACACTTATCTATACGGAATAAAGCTTGAATTTTACTGGAAACTGCACATTTACCAGAAGCGAAGATCCAATACAATAAAGCATGTGCCACAGTAAAGCTTGCAGTTAATTAGGCTAAAAGAGAGATAAATGGACAGAAACTTGCTCCAACTTAGACCTTAGACAGAATGAAAATAAAGCATGGACTTGAATTAAAAACCTTTCTCGAGAAAGTAGAAGGGTGAACCCAAAACCAGTGATATATGGGAATAAGACAAACACAGAAGACAAGTAGAAAGCTGAACATTGCAATCATTATTTTACCTCTGTTAACAGAGCAGGCAAACGCACAGAAAGGGACAGAATAAAGCTATCTCGGTTAAAGAAACAAGAGAGAGCTCCACAGCCAGCGACTTCCTTTTTTGAAGATGAGTGTAGCATGGATGAATTAGAACAAGAAATTAAAACCTAGAAAATCCTCAGGTGCAGATAAGATTCGCAACGAAATGCTGCTACATCTTGGCCGGTCTGGCAGAGAAGTAGTTTTCAGGCTAATTATTAAGATATGAAGATCAGGCAAACTTCCAAAGGCATGGAGGAATGCATATATCGTCCCATACTTAAAAGCAATGAGCCTCCAGACGAGCCACAAATCTATCACCCGATATCCTTAACATCATGCTTAGGCAAAGTTGCCAAAAGAATGATAAACAGGCACTTGTATTAGTTCCTAGAGAGTTCTGGTGTTCTATGCCATGAACAGGCAGGCTTCAGAACAAACAGCTGTACAGAAGATCAGCTGTTCAGATTGACACAACGAATTCATGGTGGATTCCAGAATAACAAACACACAGTGGCCATCTGTGTTGACCTTCAGCAGGCCTATGACAGAGTATGGAGGAAAAGCCTCCCGATGAAGATGATGAGCCTAGGAATACATGTCAAGTTGTATAACTTAGTTAAATATTTTCCGATAGATAGAACAATCTAGACTAAGATACACAAAGCAATCTCATCTAAAGAAGTCTTGGAGGAGGGCTTGCCACAAGGCTCATCATTGAGCTGTACACTGTTTTTAATCTGTATCAATGACTTGCCAGAACAAATCAAAGCCGAAAAAGCCTTGTACGCTGATGATCTAGCAATAAGGCAAAGTCAATAAATTATAGAAAGTGGAGCCCAAATGCTTAATGGAGACCTTAGAAGACTCCACGAGTACTGCCAAAGATGGAAACTCAATGTTAACCATACAAAGACTGTCTATACAATCTTCACCAAAAGCCATCAAGTAGCAAGGAAGAATATAAATCTAAGGTTAGACAAGCACCAAGTGATGAAAGAAGAGCATCCTACATATCTTGAAGTCCCACTTGACCGGCAGCTGAGCCTCAAGAATCATATTGAAAACATAAAGAATAATGCATTGAGGCGGTTGCAGTTATTGAAGAGACTTGCAGGTACAGTTGTGGATCAGACAAGAAAACTCTGAGGGGCTTGTATCTCAGATGTGTTCGCTCTGTGATAGAGTATAACAACTCGCTGCTTACAACCTGCTCCAAGACAAACCTAGAGTCTTTTGACAGAGTACAAAATAATGCCCTCCGATTAATCAGCGAAGCTATGCGGTCTACTCCAACTGCTGCATGTGAAATCAATACAAATGTGGAACCCCTCGGGTTGCAGAGAGAAAAAGCCACTTTAGAAATTTATTAAAGATGCATTAGAAAAATTCGTAACCATCCTAAAAGACACCTTAGAGAAAATTGGGAATACAAACGAAGAATAAAGCACAAATCGGTTTTACACTGCGTACATGAGGCACATGACAGATACCAACTCTCAGAAAGACGTCAGGGCACTCAGAATGTTGCAAGAAACTTACCACCACCTGCTCGCTTTAAAGCTCCAGATTTCCATTTGAAAATGGAAGACGAAGAAACTAAGCAGTCGATCCAATCACCCTTATGAACTCATCACTAAAGACCATTGATTCTTACCCCTGATGGATCTGCATTCAAGCCTACCATTAAAGCAGGTTACGGAATCTACCTAGGTTACCCTGATGGGTCTTTTGAAGAGATATTTGATGCATGCAGAGAATTCTGCTCAAAATATGAAGCTGAAATAATTGCACTGGAAACAGCTGTATACCACCTAAAGACTGTAATTGATGTTTATCTTTGAAAAGCCCAAAATATTGTCATCTTTACCGATTCAATGTCTGCCCTTCAAGCTCTAGAGGGCAGTGAACGCTGCAGAACTGACATAGCTAGGATAATTCTAGATGCTGATCAGCTCATTACCTCATACAACATCAGAATAGTGATGCAGTGGATTCCAGGCCACTTCAGCACACCAGGTAATGACAAAGCTGACAGACTGGCAAAGAAAGGAGAAACACAAGAACAACCACCTACAGCGACAACTTTACAGACAGCAAAAACACTTATAAAAGCTATATACAAAGAGACTTGGCTGAACAGATGGGCCATGGGAAATACTGGAAGAGAGGTTTATAGACACATGGCTAGAGCTGATCCTAACGACAGCATTAACCATGTAACAAGAAGGGACCAGGCAACCATCTTCAGACTCAGAACACAACATACTCCACTTAATGGACACCTAAACAGAATACAGCCACAACACTCCCCAGAGTGCCAGCTATGTAACTCCCCTACGAAACTGTTGACCATCATCTCTTTGAGTGAACAAAACTCAACGAGACTAGAAGAATGCTACTCTTTCCGAGACCAGACAGGTGGAATGCCTTTTACGGAGGAAAAGAACAACTTGTGAAAACATGTAAATTCCACTACATGGCATTGGGCCAAAGGGTGAAAGCTCGTGCGCCGCTGGATAAATAACAACAACAACATCATTATAATTTAGAGATTATATACACACCATTACCATTCTTGATAATTAGTTCGACCATTCCTGGAAAATAGCTAGAAACGTCCAAATTATTCTAGGAAATTAGTTAGACACGTCATTATCGTGTTTTTGTAAATTACAAGGCATTCTTAGAAAAAAAAGTAAGCACGTCGTTATTGTTTTTGGAAATTGGTTACACGCGCCATTGTCGTTCTTGGAAAAGGGTTAGATACGACATTATCATTCTTAGAAATTACTTAGACCAGTCATTATCATTCTTGGAAATTAGTTATATACTTCATTATCAATCTTTGAAATTAGTTATATACTTCATTATCAATCTTAGAAATTAGTTAGACACGTCACTATCATCCTTAGAAATCAGACATGCAATTATCGTCCTTGAAAATTATTTAGACCCGTCATTATCGTTCTTAGGAATTAGTTAGAAATGCCATTACCGTTCTTAGAAATTAGTTAGACCCGTCATTATCATTCTTGGAAATTAGTTAGACACGCCATAATTGTTCTTGGACATTAGTTATATACATCATTATCTATCTCGGAAATCAGTAATATACGTCATTATCAATCTCGGAAATTAGTTATATACGTCATTATCAATCTTGTAGATTAGTTATATACGTGATTATCCATATTGGAAATTAACTGGACACCTCATTATCGTTCTTGGAAATGTTTCACCCTATGACAGTATCATTTAGAAAATATTTAAGTACGTTATCGGCATCTTCAAACCTGCATAATAACCCTGGAAGCTGGACGGGTCTTTATAAAACATCTTGGAAATGTATCATGTCTTTATTATCGATCTTAGAAATTAATTAACAAAGTTTTCATAATCAGTCTTGTAAACTGGGCACGTCATCGTTACGAATCTTGGAAACTAATCTTAGACACATCTTCGAAATCAGTCTGAACCATTAATTAAGCAGGTTTTTACAAAAACTGGCATTCTTTGGATCTGTTCTCCAGGCTATGTCGGCGAAGTGGGTAATGAACAGGCAGACAGATTGGCCGGATCCACACCACTGGGTGGTGAATTGATACATGATATGGCAGATGTGGTCAAGGCCCTTTGGGAACAAACAACGAAATCAGTAGAGAAACAAGATTATTAAGGCCCGGAGAGAATAAGGCACATGGGTGTAACAAGAGGGCCTGGCCGGCTCACTACACCCAGAGGAAAGGCAAGACTTGTAATCAGACTGTGACCGGTACCATCCGTGTTGGAACTCTGAGCTGGCTGCTAAGATGAGGACGAGGGGATAACCCGAGTGCTGTGATGTCAATTCTTGACTCAGCTTAACTCAGCTAAACTCACAAAAACTGCTGGAAATAATTATTCACGTTTTTGTAATATTTCATGTAAAATAATTAGGTACATCATTATAATGTTTCCTGGTAATTAACAAGTCTGCATTCATAATATATATATATAAGTAGGTAAGCAAAAGACATTCTTCACAATTAATTTTGGAAATCAAAATCAATTTAAGAAACTGGACACGACTTGAAAATCAATCTTTACAAACAGCCAGGACTTCTTAATCCGTTTTAAAAAGCACTTATGAATGTTTCCATAATTAATCAGTGTCTGTAAAAAAAAAAAAAGATCATCAGCTACAGATTTTGATCATCTCGTTGTTGATCAAGAAAAAAGCACAGAATTCACATTACAACAAGAAAATAACAAGAGCACCCTCAAAAACAGCAGTAAGAATACTAACAAGAACACCAAAAGGCATACCAACAAGAACATCAAACTTAACTTTATCAAGAACATCAAGTTTACCTGAATTTGGCCTCTGTTCTGAGAATAAAAGACGCTCTTGCGCGTGTGTCTGGGTTCAAACACCTGCAGCCATGTTCCTTTGAAGAAGATTGCGTTGACAAGGATTGCGGCCGTCGCGCTGTTGATTGTGCCTGAGGGTTCGCAAAATAAGAGATTGATGTTTCGTGCTCAAAGTTTGAATGGTGAAGAGGTTAGGGTGCTGGGCTTACCCCGGTGAGTGGGAAGTGTGGGGAGGGTCCATGAAGGATTTACAGACACCGGTTACAGTCAGACAAATGTGCTGGATCTGCACTAATGGGTGGTGAAATGAGACATGGCAAGGCTGTTTTTGGTCAAGGTCTTGTGGGAACAAGCAACGGAATCCGTAGAGAAACAAGATTATTATGGTCTGGAGAGAATGAGGCATCTCGGTGTACTCAGAGGGTCTGGTTACTACACTCAGAGGAAAGCCAAGACGGACATATAACCAGACTGTGACCGGTACCATCAGTACTGGAACTCTGCTCTGGCTGCTGAAGATGAGGACGGAGCACGCATGGGTATTCCCCAAGTGCTTACCTCAGCTCAACTCATTAATTTATTCATTATCCTGTCTCATCATTAAATGATCAAAAATGGCTCGCAATGCCATTGTATCCTGGGCAATCAGTTAAATAGCATGGATAGAATCCAATCCAGCAGCTTTGGAATCCCTTCTCAACATTCGTTTTAGGGTTTCTTTTGGGTGTCCTTGCCTTCTTAATTCTTTTATTTCCCATTTTAATGCCTGTCTGGATAGTCGTATAGATGTTTTAAAATTGTGGTACCTTTCCGTCTTTCTAGACGATTGTGTCATACTGTGCCATGAGGAGGCATGGGACCTACAGCCTATGGCGATGGCGAGTGTGACTAGCAAGACCCACCCTCGTTAAAGTATAATGTATAGAAAGGAGTAGAAAGATAGGAGGACACACTAGACAACATAAAAGTGGAAAGCTGTAGTTACTGTACCAGGAATCGAACCTGTCACCTTTAAATGGTTTATGAGCCTGACTATGGAAACAAGTGTACGAAGAACAAGACCAGCTAGACACCCAAACAACAACATTACTTACCTGGTTCTAGCAGGTTTTTTACGTAGTGATTTGTCTGTCGTTCCACGAACTCATTGATATGCCTCTCCGGTCCCCCAGGGTAAGCCAGGTCAAAGTTGGTGCTTTGAGCGAAATAATAAAACCAGGCGGCCTCCGTGAATTGACGTTCTATGGGCAAGTGCGGGTTCAGAAAGATACCGTTTGAGTTGTAGACTTCTAGTGCGGTTACATTGTTCCACTGATCGAATATAAGAAATAACACATTTGTTAATTCACGTAAACATTTGTTGGAGAAATGACAACAGAAATTACACATACACGAAAAACTAAAAATTATTTTTAATGAATGAATGAATCAAGAATTTGCATCACTGCACTCGGGGATAAAAGTAAAGATAGCCCTCCCATTCAAACAGTGCTACACACTACCTCACATCTGATTGGTCGACGTTCAGCTTAGCTCACTTCTGATTGGTCGAAATTGATTTACCCGGCCTTCACACAATGTGACTGGGGTGTTCCGCAATGCCGTTGACATCGCTTGTTGTATTTTTTAGCACACCACCGCTTTTAACACTCCAAAAACCTACTGGGTCTATCACACAAACCACCCCCCCCCCCCCCGCTTCCCTTTTACTCCTCTAGAGAGTGCTGCAACCTGTGTCACAGGCATTCTTTTTCTCGGTAAAGAAAACGTAAATGCAAGACTACACAGATAGCGAACAACAGAGCGGCACACATGTAACAACTTCGTGGAATTATGATGCATGATAAGGCAGACGTGGTTAGTGCCTTGTGGGAGAGCGTGTACAGTTCGGAGGTGCAGATGGATCACCATAGTCTAGTGACACTGATGCAGGGGGGAGTGACGAGAGGTTCTGGCAGATGCTCGAGGCTCAGAGGGAAGGCAAGACGTACGTTTAATCAGAATGCTACAGGCATCATTAGTATCTGAACTCTTCGCTGGCTGCTGAAGATGGGGGAGGAGCGCTTATGGAAATGCCCCGATAGCTGTGATGTCGGTTCTTAAATCAAATCAAATCAAATCATAAGAGAAAATGACACAGACCTACAAGGCTTAAAGATCAACTAGTATCCCCTAGTATAAATGATAGATGTAGCTAGACAATTAAAATTATAGAGGTGATTGGACGGTTACATGCTGCAGGAGATCTCGGATTGTGGAGAGACATATCGCCCACCCAAGGCACCTGATAATGATGATGATCATGATTAGACGGTAAAATAATGACATAATTAGACAGTAAAAATTATAGACGTGATTAGACGGTAAAATTATAACGTAACTAGACAGTATAAATTATAGACGTGACTATGCAGTATAAAGGATAAACGTAACCAGGGAGTATAAATTATGGACGTAACTAAACACTATACAGGATTGGCGTAATTATGCAGTAATTTACAAAATTGACGTGATAATTTTTTTGACAAATGAAAGACGTGACAGCATAAATCGCAGTACCTGTAATAAAATGCCTTTAAATTCCACGTTAGCAGGAACGTAGGGGTTCAGAAAGGCCACTCTATTTATCTCTTCGAACGTGGGTCCGTTACCGGCTCCAATCAGCAACATGCCGAGGGCAGCTTGGACACTGTTGGGTGGGAAAGAGAAAGACAACAAATTCTTTCTCCAAAATGTTGTGGAGTTAGTAATAAAAATGTGCGTGCTTTTTTCCAGACATTACCGGGTTGGTAATAGAAAGGCAAAATTGTTGTTCTATGAGCTGTTGTCAAGTTGGTAATACAAATACCTCTTGTTTTCTCCAACCTGATCGGACGGGCAATAGAAAGACACAACAAATACTTTCTCAGTGTTGTCCTGAGTTGAATTGAGTTGAGTAAAGAATTGACATCACAGCACTCGGGGTATTTCCATGCGCATTCCGTCCTCACCTTCAGCAGCCAGCGCAGAGTTCAAATATTGCTGGCACAGGTCACAATCTGTTTATATGTCCGTCTTGCCTTTCCTTTGAGTGTAGTGAGCCGGCCAGACACTCTGCTCACACACTCACGTGTCTCATTCTCTCCACGCCATAATAATCTTGTTTCTCTACTGATTCCGTTGCTTGTTCCCAAAGGGCCTTGACCACATCTCCCATGACATGTATCAATTCACCACTTAGTGGTGCAGATCCAGCCAATCTGTTTTCAGTGATGTTACGACGAACATCCTACAAGATGTTGAACATCACTAGAAAGTAGCATCTCATCTCGGAAAATGAAATAATTTGTGCATATCAATCCCCAATGCAGTTAATGGAACCAAACATTAATAGCAGAAGGCACGGTACCAGGAAAGAGAGGAAGATGTCAAAGATGGATACAAGATGGATACAAGATGGATACAAAATAGATACAAGATGTGAATTACACCTCAAGCTTGAATGTGCAGGATGGGAGAGAGTTGGCGAGAGACCAAGTTTCTTTCAGGCAGACTGTGATGAGAGCTACGTTCTGCAAAGGATCTGCTTCATGATTGATTGATAGATGTGGTGAAAAACCTGAAGTGCACATAAAAAGTCTAAAAAGCATGCACGTCCAGATATTTAATCATCATAAATTTCAAATTTTAAGGCGTTGTGGGGAGGAACAGTTTGCGATCCATTGCCTTAAGGCAGCAGTGGCTACTGTCGATATAAATGCTCTTTAATGTTATCAAACAATCGTCTCCTGGGGCGGCTTCTTGCTGTCATTTCATAGCTCTTCACGTGTAGCGCCTGCACTAGAAGCTGCTCTGGATGTATTCTTACTAAATGACCAAACCATTCAATCTTCTGTTGCTAAGTCAATCTATTGCATTGAAAGGGGGTAAGGGGGAGGGGGTGTCATTTACTCAAGGGAAGTAAAACTGGAGACTTTTGATCAAGGGCAACGTTTTTAGGTGAGCAGTGTCTGTAGGTAAAAAGCCCAGTATAAAAGGCAAATGTTATAATAGTCACGTCGGCTCTGTGGCCAAGTCGATGTGAACGCTTCGTAATGCCGGAGTGCCGGGTTCGATCCCAGCTGCGGGCCATGTGCCTTGCGTTAGTTTCGACAGTGGTATCAGGGGGCCGAACGTCCAGATGGCAATGGCAAACTACTGGACGTAAATTTGCCTAGAGGAACCAAATAACAGTCAGGAGCTGCTGGGGTTGGTCTTGCAACGTCCTGTAAAGGGTACAAAGCTAACCTATGATAGGCACAATGAAAGAAACCGAAATGACGACATAAATACATACCTGAAAGGTGAGTAGACAACGTTCCATCTCCTGACGGCTATCTGTCGATAGAGAGCCTCGGAGAAGATAGGTGAGGATCGTGACAAGGAAAGGAGATAATTTGGATCAGGCCGGGTCGCGGCGATCACGAAGCAGCATCCCAAAAGTATTATTATTGTTTTCTGCATATTGCTAAGAAGACAAGTGTTTGTTGTGAGAACCGAAGATAAAGCCGCGTTTCACCTAAATAATACCATATCTTTTCCTTTCTTCTTCTTCTTCTTCTTCTTCTTCTTCTTCTTCTTCTTCTTCTTCTTCTTCTTCTTCTTCTTCTTCTTCTTCTATTTCTTCTTCTTCTTCTTCTTCTTCTTCTTCTTCTTCTTCTTCTTCTTCTTCTTTCTTCTTTTTCTTCTTCTTCTTCTTCTTCTTCTTCTTCTTCTTCTTCTTCTTCTTCTTCTTCTTCTTCTTCTTCTTCTTCTTCTTTCTTCTTCTTCTTCTTCTTCTTCTTCTTCTTCTTCTTCTTCTTCTTCTTCTTCTTCTTCTTCTTCTTCTTCTTCTTCTTCTTCTTCTTCTTCTTCTTCTTCTTCTTCTTCTTCTTCTTATTTTCCCTATTCTTTTTCTTCTTCTTCTCCTTCTTCCTCGTCTTCTTCTTCGTCGTTTTCTTCTTCTTCTTCTTCTTCTCTTCTTCTTCTTTCTTCTTCTTCTTCTTCTTCTTTCTTTCTTCTTCTTCTTCTTTCAAACCTCAAACCTCTCTGTCATCTGACATTCTCCCAATAAGTGATAACATCCTCTTCTGGAACATGGTCATAACTACCCATATCATGAAATCCGGTCTGCATTTTTTTTTCCTTCTTTTCCTTCAGAACTATTGGCCTAGTCTGTTTTGTCCAGCAGCCTCACAATAAACAATGTAACACGAATTTGTATCTTAGCTTGTTGCTGAAAAGTTATTACACGCATGCAGACTGAGTGGGGCAATAAATATGCTTTAACAAAAATGAAAGTGGTTTCTTCAGACAAGAATGGATTGCAGTACTAAACACTTCTCGAATGGCTGCAATAACCTTCATATTTCTGCTAGGTTATTCGTGTGTTCAAGGAGACGAGCGTGCAGATTATCTTACAGACACTTTGATTGCTATTGCTGGTCTAATAATTGACAGAAACTACATTATCAATGCAATGCCCAGCACTTGACCTCACCACGATCAGGCCAAAGGGCATAACTCCATATCCCTGTCTAGACTGATGGACATGGGGGTGCAGCCGGGAGCTGCAAGAAATGAACATTTCACTAAGGAAACAAGACGTTTTATTAATCAACACAGAACAGGCGTTATCCTCTCTTTACACTTATGGCGCTTTTGAGGGTAAGATCGGAGCACCTATGTCTGGAGTGCTGTGATGATAATCCTTACAAATCGCTAATCACTACTCTCATGTCCAGCGATAAAGCTTTCTTCATGAACCACATCCGTCCATTATCAAGTGCGCACCAGTGGCGTCTGCACTTCAACTGGCCGTTCGACAACAAGTCTCTCATTCTAGCTGTCGATCCTAGCAATGGATTTTTTGGGTAGGTCTTATATTCAAAGCACCAGCGGAAAAATCGTGCTAGGGCTTTTGAGGCTAAAGCCCCCCACCCCCCCCCCCTTCCCCTCGTCTAGAGAAGCGGCAGCATCTAATTTATCAGCCTGCTCCTTACACCTGAATATCTTAGGTCCAAAATCCTTGGTGTGCTCCTAAGCTGGGTCTTATCAAGTGATGTAAGCCACTCTGCACGTAGGACACCAGTTTCAGTTTTCCAAAGTATGCTCTGTCTGTCACTATCACAGCATCTCGGGTTGTACTACTCCCAAGTCATAGAAAACGGATTACTTAATCCATGCTGCACATACCACACTACTTACTTAATAAACCACTTTTCTTGGTTTATCTGGGTAAAGATTCAAGGTCACAGTGTTTAGGTCAAGCCCATAAGTGCCTCAAAAGTCACGCCCTAACAATTTAACAAATATCGCGTAATCACCTGTACCAGAAACATGTTTTTTTAATGTGGCAGACTCCCCATGTCCTTATGTTTTTATATTTTACGCTCCAGCACCTATTGTAAGCGTGCAGAAAAGCCATAGGCCAGGAAAGATACACTTAACGCAACAATAAATTCCTAAAAGAGTTAGCGGACAATGTGGACCAAGCAAGGATGAGGGCCAATGCGAGTTCCAGTCCTACAGTCACCCCCATGCGCTTTCTCGAGGCTGGGCAGATTTATAAAGGTAAAATCAACAAGGTCCCATAGATCCATGAAAACTTGACTGTGCGAGGGACTGGTTACTGGTTGTCGACTTGCCTGGTTTCGAGAGGTACCCAGAGTTAATTCTCGAGAGCGGCCTGAAAAGTGACACACTAGAGTCCTACACTTAACGGAAAAGCGCCAGCTTATTCTGCTTGAGCTGACCGTGCCGTATGTCGCGAATGGACGAAAATCACAGGTACAAGCTTGAAAAGTACTGTAAGCTCGCGGCCTGTCTGAGTAAAAAAATCTTCGCCGTTGAGGTAGGCGCAAGAAATTTTATTTCCACTTTCATGTACAATATGCTAAAACAGCTAGGCTTGCGAGGAAACGAGCGCAAAAAGTAACTATCCCAACTGGGCCAAGCTGCTGAAAGAGCTTTGAGCTGGCTCTGGACGCAACGGAACGTCGTAAGGAATGTGCCTAGGTAGACTGGTCCGAGTCCCTGTAGGTACGGAGCTTCTTATCCCTTACAAGCCAAAGTGTCAGACTGATGTCTTCCATTGTCGCTCTGCCCTTTTCAAAAGTCTAACATGTTTCTGATGAATCAATCGTAAGCTTGTCACTTGGTCGTTCAGGTAGCCGGTCAGTCTAATTGGCTACCGCAGCGACGAATATATATATTTAACTTCGAATCTCACAGTACCCGTTGCATAGTCACCATTTCGTCTTGTCCCTATCCGAGAACATCCGGCAAAGTGCAGCAGGAGAAGTTTGAGGCCTTGGGGTCATGACCCATGTCGGCCCACCCTATGAAATTGTCTACGATTTGATGGGGTTAAACAATTGTAGACCAGGGATCTTCTATCGTTGATCGATGGACTTCTGCTGTAATGCTCCCCTGTAAGGGAGTTATTATTATTATTGTACTGTTGCATATGGTCTGCTGTTTTCATAAAGCGGCACATTTTTTATCTTTGATTTACTAACAATTTGTCTACGCCCGCCCGCACCCTAAATAAAATATACAGTAACTGACATATGGGTGGAAATTGTTTGTAAATCACATCGTATTAGCAGCACATGCGTGGTTGATTGTTTTGATAGCCTATCTAGCATACAATTTAAATTTATTTTTATTTAAACTCACAGGAGACGACTGCTGGAGATGACCTCTTAAAAGTGAAACATCTGTGATATTTTGAAAAGTTGCCATCACTAACTCAACAGCGTCCGTGGCTTAGGCGTTGCAAGTCCGACTCGTAATTCCATCGTGCCGCGATCGAAACCAACGGCAGGCCTTGTGGATTTTTATCGTGATATGGAGTGTCGCAGGTCAGCTAAGTCTAAAATGGGCACAAGGATGTATGTCCTGGGGAAGTAAAGACGACCGGCGTCATGCTGACTACATTACCCAACTAGTGCCGATTTGTCAGTAAAAATATAGATGCTCTTCCCATATATAGAGATGCACCTAAACGACGTGAAAAGTGATCCATACTTATTTTTACCGTTACTTACTTGAACTGTAAGCATGCAGATTGTGTTCATTCGTTCGGTGTGTGTGTGCATGTATGGGACTCACATACTGCTAATTAAGGGGAGGGGAAGTTTTTTTGTTTTTTTTTTTTTTTTTTTTAAATTTTTTTTTTTTTTTTTTGACATTAAGAAAATATATCTTGTAAGGACATCATTATAATGAGGCATGCATGCCAGAAATCAGCAACCAACCGCCAATTGTTATTGAGTTAGAGATTTTTACAGTTGGGCACGACTTCTCAAACGGACTATAGCTCTGTAGCCCCTCTGAACAGCCAATGGTTATTAAGTTAAAAATTTTTATAGTTTCACGGCTTATGAAACGGACTATAGCTCTGATTCCCTTCTCAACAGCCTGAGAAGAGTCTTCGTATTGATGATACACGATGTCGTTTGGCTAACTACTCGTCTCAATTTTCCAACGAGTCTCGATAAGCGCCTGGAGCCCGCAAACATCTCCCGCTGGACCCTTCTCTCCAGATCCATTACTTTTCCAATCCGTGAGTTAATTAACCTTTACTAAACGTTACACACCACCTACCTAATCCATGTTGTACCTGCTCCACAAGTTACCTAATCCAAAATGTAAGTAATTAACTATTACTTTATCCACTATGTAATTATCCACAATTTGCCTAACCTGCGTTGCACTGAATCCATGATTTTAACAAATGTGAACTGACCTAAGAAACCATACACCAAATCCACGAGAATATACCCTTCGTGTATTTCAATTTCGCTGGTCTCGTTTGAAGCGCAGTATTGCAGGGTTACATCATGTACATTTATATTTAATAAACTTAGGAACCAATCGGTAATCTACACGTACTAGCACAAAATCACTTAGAAGAGGTTACCACCCACCACAATACATCATTGGACAACATCGATGCCATTACCGAATATGCGATTCTCATTGGTTAGTTTCGTGTGGATGATACAAACGGGCGTGGCCTCTGTATGAGTTTACAGGGGTCTACATCGACTGCCAATGTTCCGCAAAAGCTGATACGCTGATCGTGTGATCCAATCATCTTGAGGGTTGGCGTCTGCTGCTTAGGGCCTGTTAGGGCGGTTTCATAATTTCGAAATACTATAATCAGTGTACCCGATGTCATTTGGCTAACAACTCGTCTCGCCTTTCTCCCCGAGGATCGATAAGCGCCGGAAGCCCGCAAACATTTCCCGCTGGATCATTCTCTCTAGTCCATATAAGGAAGAAGACCGCTTTGCTTTGATGGTAGTCGGAACACCAGCATTTGTTGGCTGTTCACGGTTTTACTTCTCCTTCACATAGAGTCCACGCCGTGTGGCACTGGTAGTCATATCTATTCGCAGCCTTCTGTCTCGTGTACTTTTAGTCAGTTTTGACACAGATGATCTTCCATGCCATGTTGTCCACCTGTCCAGCATATCTCTTGATCTCCATTTGCCTTCTTTCTACTCCAAGCCTTCCACGGTCACAGTGTGCCGCAGTTTTTTCAATTTTATGAAATGAGCAAAGAATTTAGATTTGTGTCCATCTGATGTCATGATTTTACTAGGCAGTTTTAAATTTTGAAGTTTGCTATTGCTCTCTGCACGGTACAGCACTCATAGATGTAACTTCTTTCAAAGCTTCCTGACCGATGAGGAGCACCCCATGCTCCGTGCCAAGTGGTAAGCGTCGCTTCAGAGGCAAGAAAAGATATAAAACCTAACGAAAAGTATATCAGCAAGCTTCACAATATAACTAACACAAACAAAACATGAACGTTGCGGCTGTGGAGCCTTCATCAGCACACACATAAATAAAACACTACCATACACATACACAAAATTACTTAGCTTATTTCTCGAAGTAGCCAGATCGATTTATTGTCAGTAGACTAACGAGACACGTAGGACAGAAGAATAAATACCCTGATGAGTTCCAGGGACCTTAACTGGGGCTTTTAAATAAAACTACGTGGGTAGTCCAATCCCCGAGAATTTTACTTGAAACTGTGTTGGCAGCTCAGTACTCTATGTGTGTTAAAGTGTCCAAAGTGAAAATAAAGCGATATTCAAGACACTTGCAGACTCTGTCGCTGAAGGGGTTAGATTTTATTGCTGTCATCGCCATGTCGTGGACATTTTGGTGATCCTGGGAATTAAAGTGCAAAGGTACAAAATGCGGCCTTAACATATGGGCCCATTGGGCACTTATCCCAGGGCCTCATGAAAATGGGTGCCCCATTACAACACATGTATGTCAAATGACTGTTCAGGTTAGAAGTTGGTACTCTTTTCATTTTTCTTTTTTTTTGCTTTCCCACCCCCCACCCCCCAACCCCAACTGGAGCATAGGCCCTTAATCAACTCCCCCAATTTCACACTATCTTGTCTTATCTGTGTTTATGTTTTAACAACAGTTTTGTAACGCGCAATTAAAATGAATGTATTTAGTGCTATCGACAACGCCAGTTTTGTTGAAGTGACAATAAAATAAAATATATGTTAGGTATTATGGACTATTTACATTTTATTCACGAAAGTGCATATCGTAAAGGCCCCAGCACACCGGTTTGCCCAACTCATTAGTTCATGACGCTGTTAAAGGTGATAGAACAGTGCAGTACTAGATTTAGGCATGAAGTAATAAAGCTGCTACCAAGGGCTTAACAATCTGTAGGGGCCTCAATACACCCTTTTCTGTGTTTAAAAATTGTATTTTCATTTCATCCATTTAAAAAAAAATGTGTATCAATACTTTTAGGAGTATATCGGCTTAGGTTTGTATCCTTTCTAACTGGTGGCCTATTTACATTGACTATAATAAATAATCTCTCTCCTGTGAATCGGAAGGATGTGGGTTTGTGTTCTGGGGGAGCCTGGCTTTCGTAAAAAATAACCTTGGCTCCCAGGTCGACCCAGCCTTCAGGGGGTGCCAGGTGTACTGCAGTCTTAGGAAGTAAAGGCGGCCGGCGTGATGCTGACCAAATCCCCCGTCAAGTGCCGATTGGTCTATAAAATGTAGGTCTAGCCCTATCAATTTGTCACAAATTGATCGAATGAATGCTATCGAGTACAAAGTATAATGTACGCATGAATGGTTCGAGTAACAAATATGAACTAGAGGTAAGCGTGCAAGTTGGCTGAAGCGTGCCAGATGAGAAAAACATGAATATTGTGAGTGTAACATTCTAGAGCATGTTAGACACTTTTTAAACTTGGAACAAATGAGAAGAGTCAGGCTAGTTTTTGATGTTGAAATTGTCTGGTCGTGTGGCGCTTAAAGAGTGCGAAGCAAGGTAACCTTTGAAGTAAGCGTATGTTAGATCGGGAAGCCTACCTGGTCAGAAAAACCTGACCTTGTCCAGTTCTGGACAAATGGACGAGGCTGACATCTACTATGAAATATGTATTTCTGCTCGAGTTTAAGTCTGGAAGCCGTCGAAGTGTCGACGTTTAGAAGTTGCGCATCCTGGACAAGTTCGACAAATATTTTTGATGTTCTTGTGTGTTGCCGATCTGATCGGCCTTAGACGTTTACACCTCTGCTGCATTGACGCAGGCGAACAATTATTGGAACTAATGAACGTTCTGTAAGAGTTGTGTGGCGTTTCCGAAGTTTCTTGTTTTTGTTCAAGATTATGTTGAAATGCCTGTTAGTATGTCTGAGCAAGCTGTATGTGACCAGAGCCTACGGAGAGAAGATGCAATGAGTTTGCAACATTGTCTCCCTCCATTCCCCAGCATGTAGATAGTTTAATCTTCAAAGCTTAATAAGGAATCAACATCATAGCACTCGCGTCATACCCATTAGCGATTCGTCCTCATCTTCAGTAGCAAGTGCAGATTTACAATTCCAGTGCTACCAATAGCAGTCGGATTGCATATCCGTCTCACTTTCCCTGGTCAGTCCGCACAGTTACATTCTCTTCAGACCGTGATAATCCATCTGTGCTTCCACACTCGCCCCCAGAGGGCCCTGGCACCATCTAGCTTGTCATGCATCACTTCACTACCTAGTTGTGCAGAACCAGTCAGTCTATATTTCTGTTTATTTCCCAATACACCGGCATATCCTAAGGACAATATCCAAAGAATGCTGACCTCTGAGGCGAAGTTTGACACTCTTTACGGAGCATACACGTTTCCATTTTTCTCAACATGCTGTGTTAGTCGGTTGCTATTATGGCATGTGTATACACTTGAGTCTCAAGCCAGCGTAAGGCTGCAGTGACTGCCTCCACCTCCATTCTAAAACTAGTTGTGGTGTCATATGCCAGGCTTCGTTATACTAAGCATCGTCTATTCACTTTTGATAAGAACCCCCATGAGCTTCGTCTGCCTCTAGACACAGTCATCGGTATGGATAATCATTTCACCTGGGCGGGAATTGCCATGCATCATTTGTTGAACTTCTGATTCTGTGGAGCCCGCTGAAAAGCCTTATGGACAGCGAAAAAGAGCGGCTTAGACTCACCCTCTCCTCTTTTCCATAATTTTTAAGAGGAGCTGAACCACACTTTTCCTCTTTTCCACCTTTTCCTAACATAATCTTGAAGGTCCCGCATCTCTGCCAACACTATTAGATGATAGAATTAATGTGCACTTAGACAAGGCTTAACCCCATTGAGCTACTGACCCACTCCCCTTAAAATTTTATGAGAGTCTGAATGCATACGCAGCATATATCTATACACAAACATGACTGGCACGAATGCACACATCATCGTGAAGTGCCTTGTGTGCCGGTGTTCTGGATCAGTTCCACTCATGATATTCCTCCACGCCACTGTCTTAAGCCATCAAACATCATTTCTCTTGGCCTGCCTCTGCCTCTTCCGCCAGTTATTTTTCCAGTCTTCACAATGTTTTCCAGTGCTCTTTTTCTTATCACATGACTAAAGAACTTTGCCTCCTTCTCATTGTTGTATATAATGTTCTACTTTCATTACCCATTTCCCGGCAATCATCGTTACTTGTTCTTACAATCCAAGGTGTTCGCGACATTGTTCTCGATAACCACATCTCGGTTGCCCCCAAACTCTTCTTAATTTGTTTGCTCATATTCCTAGATTCACTTCAATACAACAGAACAATCTCGATGTAACATTTCAGTACTCGTTTTCTCATGTTAGAAGACAGCTCGTAACAGACCCTATTAACCACTGTGCCATTAACACTTGAGGGTTAGGGTTCGTGTTCTTATTCTTCACGATCTGGCTGTTCGACGACGACTGCTGCACTTTAGTTGTTGTGATGAGGTGCTGTGCATGGTCTTCACGATTACATAGTGGCAATCAGAAAGTCCGTGCAACAAGGGACAGCACGAGATACTTGTGCCTAGTCGAGGAAGCGAGTGAAAGCCCGAGCTAGACTCGTGGTCAGTCGATCATGAGAAGTCAGAGAAGACTGTTGTAGTATTTGAGGATGTCGTCTTTATGTCGGGCAAATGGTTAATGTTGGAATATGTCGCGAGTGATAAAGTGTGAATAATGTTTGAACATGTGAAATAAATGGACCAGAATAAACTGACAGAATGTACAATGAAGCTGAGTGGCGTTAGTGTTGTCAACCCTAGACGTTGAAGCCGGTGTAAACCAAGGTTCTTTCCAAGCCGAACCAAGGTACATTTCAAGGTGCAAACCACGCTTCACTCCAAGTTGAATAAGAATCATTCCAAGTGAAGC